GTTATAAACTGGGTCAGATTAATAATAATGTCACATTAGCCCACTGGACGTTTCTACCCAATCATAGTTATCTCTGAGTATAAGAATAAATCATCCATCTGCCATTTTTTTTTTTTTTTTTTTTTTGCCTGCCTAGATGCCTTTGGTAACCTCCACATTGACCACTACAGTGAATTAAGGGTGAAAACACTATAATGATGGTTTTATTGTTGTTAGGTTCCTTGGAATTGATTCCAACTAATAGCAATCCCATGTGCTCCACGGTATTTTCTAGGCTGTAGTCTTTATGGGCAGGAGCTCTGGTGGTGTAGTCCCTAAGGCATTTGACTGCTAACTAGAAGGCTGGCAGTTCAAACCCACCAGCCACTCCTCAGAAGGAAGATTGGGCAATCTACTTCTATAGTGATATTGTCCCAGAAATCCAAGGAGGGTTAGCAATGAGTCAGGTCTGATTTGATGGCAGTGAGTTTTTTTTGTTTTTGTTTTTTTTAAGCAAATCACCATTTTTTTTTTTTTTTTTTCCTCCTGAGCAGCTGCTAGATAGGTCAGAACAACCAATCTTTTAGGTAGTGGTCAAAGTCTTAACTGTTGCACCACTAGGGTTCTGTATGGCAGTGATAAAATAGTATCTGTAATAGCAGCCAGGGACCACAGGAGGAGCAAGATCCAGGTATGGGGGTGGGAGGCAGGCAAGGCCCCAGCCCCTTGAGCCAGGAAAGGGAGGGAGCTGCCAGAGACCACTAAGTGGAAGGATCCAGGGAGGAATTAGGTAAGGGGAGGGTGGAGAGGTTTCCAACAGCTAAGGGAGAGAAACTGGTCTGTCAATTTGTCATCCTGTGGGGTATGCATGTGGCTGTAAGGCTTGAGGCTGTGCCACCAGTGTTTCAAATGCCAGCAGGGTTGCACATGATGCACAGGTTTCAATTCAGCTTACAGGCTGAGATAGACTAGGAAGAAGGAAGAGGCCATCCACTTCTCAAAAAATTGGCCAGAGAAAACCTTATGAATAGCAGAAAAATACGGTCTGATACATAACTGGGCAACTTTATGAATAGCTTGGAAACATTATCTGACACAGTGCAGGAAGATGAGCCCCTAGGATCAGAAGCATTCAAAATAGGACTGGGAAGGAGTTGCCTCATCAGAGTAGAACCAACCTTAATGATATGGATAAAGTAAGTCTTTCAGGACCTCCATTTGCTGATGTGGCATGACTCAAATTGAGAACACACAGCTGCAAACATCCATTAATAATCAGAACATGGAATGTATGAAGTATGAATCTAGGAAAATTGAAAGTTGTCAAAAATGAAATGGAGTGCATAAAGATTGATATCATAGGCATTAGTGAGCTGAAACGGATGGGTTTTGGGCATTTTGAATCAGACAACCATATGATGTACTATGCCAAGAATGACAGTTTGAAGAGGAATGGCGTGGCATTCATCATCACAAAGGATGTTTCAAGATCTTTTCTGAAGTATAATGCTGTCATTGATAGGATAATATCCATAGGCCTACAAGGAAGACCCATTAATATGACTATTATTCAAATTTATGCCCCAACTGCCAGAACCAAAGATGAGGAAATTGAAGATTTTTATCAATTTCTGCAGTCTGAAATTGACTGAACATGTAATCAAGATGTGTTGCACATCACTGGTCATTGGAGTGCAAAAGTTGCAAACAAAAAAGTATCACCGGTAGTTGTAAAATTTGGCCTTGGTGACAGAAATAATGCTGGAGATTGCATGAGAGAATTTAGCAAAACCAATGCCTTAACCTTTGTAAATACCTTTTTTCAACAACACAAATGGTGGCTATACACATGGACTTCACCAGATGGAATACACAGGAATCATATTGACTACATCTGTGGCAAAAGGCTATAGAAAAGATCAATATTTTCAGCCAAAATAAGGCCAGGAGCGGATTGTGGAACAGACTATCAACTGCCATACGCAAATTCAACTTGAAGTTGAAGACAATTAAAACAAGTTTACGAGAGCCAAAATATGACCTTGAATATATCCCTCCTGAATTTAGAGACCATTTAAAGAATAGATTTGATGCATTGAACACCAGTGACCGAAAACCAGAAGAATTGTGGGACGAATCAAGAGCATCATCCATGAAGAAAGTAAGAGGTCATGAAAAAGAAGAGAAAGAAAAAAAAGACCAAAATAGATGTCAGAAGAGACTCTGAAACTTGCTGTTGAGTGAAGAGCAGCTAAAGCAAATGGAAGAAATGACAAGACAAAATTGCTGAACAGAAGATTTCAAAGATCAGCTTGAGAAGACAAAGATAATGAATTGTAATGAAATTTGCAAAGACTGGAGTTAGAAAACCAAAAGGGAATAACAGGCTCAGCATTTCTCAAGCTGTAAGAATTGAGGAAAAAATTTAAGCTCAAGTTGTAATATTGAAAGATACTATGGGCAAAATATTGAATGGTGCAGGAAGCATCAAAAGAAGATGGAAGGAATACACAGAGTCACTGTACCAAAAAGAACTGGTTGATCTTCATCCATTTCAGAAGATGGTATATGCTCAAGTATTAATGGTATTGAAGGAGGAAGTCAAAGCTGCACTGAAAGAACTGGCAAAGAACAAGGTTCCAGGAATTGACGGAATACCCATTGAGATGTTTCAACAAACAGATGCCCCACTGGAGGCACTCTCTTAGCTATGCCAAGAGATTTGGAAGACAGCTACCTGACCAACTGACTGGAAGAGATCTATATATTGTACCCATTCCAAAGAAAGATGATCTAACAGAATGTGGAAATTATCAAACAATATCATTAATGTCACACACAAGCAAAATCTTACTGAAGATAATTCAAAAACTGTTGCAACAGTCTATTGACAGAGAACTTCCAGAAATGTAACCTGAATTCAGAAGAGCACATGGAATGAGGGATATCATTGCTGATGTCAGATGGATCTTGGCTCAAAGCAAAGAATAACAGAAAGATGTTTACTTGTGTTTTATTGACTGTGCAAAAGCATTTGATTGTGTGGATCATAACAAATTGTGGATAACATTGAGAAGAATGGGAATTCCAGAACGCTTAATTGTACTCATGAGGATCCTGTATGTGGACCAGAAGACTGTCTTTTGAACAGAAAAAGGGAACACTGCAGGGTTTAAAATCAAGAAGGGAGTGCGTCAGGGTTGTATCCTTTCACCATACTTATTCAATCTGTGTGCTGAGCAAGTAATTTGATAAGCTGGACTATATGGAGAAGAACATGGCATCAGGATTGGGGAAAGGCCCATTAACAACCTGTGATATGCTGATGACACAACTTTGCTTGTTGAAAGTGGGGATGACTTGAAGCACTTATTGATGAAGATTCAAGAAAACAGTCTGCAGTATGGGTTACATCTCAATATAAAGAAAACAAAAATCTTCACAACTGGACCTATAAGCAACATCACGATAAATGGAGAAAAGATTGAAGTTGTCAAAGATTTCACATTGCTTGGTTCTACAATTGACGCCAATGGAAGCAGTAGTCAGGACATGAGACGATGTATAACACTGGGCAAATTGGCTGCAAAGGACCTCTATCAAGTGCTAAAGAGCAAAGATGTCTCCTTGAGGAGTAAGGTGCACCTGACACAAGCTATGGTATTTCCAATCGCCTCATATGCATGTGAGAGCTGGACAATGAATAAGGAAGACTGAAGA